TCAGATCTGATGGTCTCTCAGATCTGATGGTCCCTTGTCCTGATGACCTCTCAGATCTGATGACCTCTCAGATCTGATGGCCTCTTGGTCTGATGGCCTCTCAGATCTGATGGCTTCTCAGATCTGATGGTCCCTTGTCCTGATGACCTCTCAGATCTGATGGCCTCTTGGTCTGATGGTCTCTCAGATCTGATGGTCTCTCTGATCTGATAACCTCTCAGATCTGATGGTCCCTTGGTCTGATGACCTCTCAGATCTGATGGCCTCTCAGATCTGATGGTCCCTTGTCCTGATGACCTCTCAGATCTGATAGTGTCTCAGATCTGATGGCCTCTCAGATCTGATGGTCTCTTGGTCTGATGGCCTCTCAGATCTGATGGTCTCTCTCCTGATGGTCTGGCTCTCATGCTGTGGACTCCCAAATACTTTTTCTGCATTCACTGAAGTGCTGGCCACTTGATACATTTACAGTAACTTACATCTGTGATTGTTATCTTCAAAATCTTTTCTCTATCGCATGTGAGTGTGAGTGCATTTACTCTGAGGTTTTGTTTTTAATAAGTCTGGTCCAGAACTATGATGAGACATTGCCATACACGTGTGTTTGCTCTGCAGCTGTTCAGCGAGAAGATAAGCGGAGAGGGAGGAACAAAGCTGGATGATGAATTTCTGGACATGGAAAGGGTAGGGACCTTTTCGCATCAGTCCTGGTAGAAGTTGGTGTCCTGTGATAAGGAGGTGTTCCTCTAGGTCGGGCCAGTGCTTGGGGGAGACAGACGGGGTGCTTAAGAGCAGGTAAGGGTGGTGCTCTGCAGAAGGGTCTGGTGCGTGGCCAAGATCAGACCCTCCCTGGACCCCCACAGTCCAGACAGGCTGGGGAAGGGGGTGGGGTGCGGCTGCTGGCTCTCCTGGGGTCAGAAGTCAGGGGGCACTGAAGAGGAGAGTAGTTGATGTAAGGCCATTGAGTTGGAGTCCTGCGTACTTTTTTTTCTGCACAGGCTGGCCTGGGATTGCGATCCTCTGGATCTCAGCCTCCTGTGTAACTAGAATGACAGGTGGATTTGCCGTTGGTCGAGGGGGAGTCTCGCTAGCTTTTCTGCCTGGGCTGGCCTCCAGCTTCAGTCCTTCTGACTCCAGCCTCCCAGCTAACTAGAATGACAGGGGTGGGCCAGCAGGGCCCGGCTTTAGCTTTTAATACTAGTGCTCTCCAATGTCATTGAGGGGTGATGTCTCAGCATCTCAGAACAGATAAGATTCTGCCTCCTCCCAAGATAGTAAAGTTTGTCTGAACATTTCTTTTTATTGGAATTAGAGGTATCAAGTTAAAAAAAAAAAAGCTTTTCTATTTGTTCTTCTGTAAACCCATTGAGTTGGCCACTTACTGACATTACTCTGTATTTGTCTTGTTTTAAGAAAATCGATGTCACCAATAAAGCTGTTGCAGAAATTCTTTCCAAAGCCACTGAGTACCTCCAGCCGAACCCAGGTACCGCTGGACAGTCTCGCCGTGTTCCGTTGCCTGTTTGCTGTCCTGGCCCTGGTGACCCTGGTTGCTTGGCGTTTGGTTGACATGCTCTAGACGCACCCCACGGCCCAGTAGTGAACTCAGTTTGTGAACCTTGAATCTCCAGTGACATCAAGGAGTGCAGTGACTCCTGGGTGACGGGAAGCAGAGCAGGCCCAGGTTACAACCCTCGGGGCTCACTGTGCTGTGGGGTCACGTCCCTCGGGGCTCACTGTGCTGTGGGGTCACGTCCCTCGGGGCTCACTGTGCTGTGGGGTCACGTCCCTGGGGGCTCACTGTGCTGTGGGGTCACGTCCCTCGGGGCTCACTGTGCTGTGGGGTCACGTCCCTCGGGCACTGTGCTGTGGGGACATGTCCCGTGTCCATCCGCCACAGGAACCCACAGAAACCGCCTGCAAGACCAGAAGGGGAAATTGAGGAGCATAAGTTAGGGTGAAGGCTTGGGAATCACGGCAGTGGCTTCTGGGTGCTTCTAATAGCGGATGGAGGGCTGACAGGCTGCTCGGTGGAGGAGCGGAGCCGTGTGCCCCTTCCAGTCCGGAGGCCGTGCCGGGCCCCGAGCCACAGCTCAGCAGGTTCAGTGGCCCTGAGAAAAACGCTGGGGATTCAGAGCCGTAGGCTCATTTCAGACCCTTGACGAGATGGCTGGGTTGAGAGGCACGGGTGTGGAAGGCATCCAGCGCCTCAGCTCCCTGTCAGCGTGCGTCACCCCACTGCTGGTGGGCTCTGGGTCCGCGGGGGGGTCGGTCCTCTTGGTTCTGTGCTCATGTCTTTGTAGGCAGTGCCTGCTCCCTGTCCACAGCTCCCCCTGCGGGGCCCTTCCCCCGACCCCGCAGGGCCTCCCCCCACCCCGCGGGGCCTCCCCCCCACCCCGCAGGGCCTCCAGGGCCCCTCCCCCCAACCCCCCCCTTAACTTTAGGGAATTACAAACGGCAATGTTTTTAAGCATACAGAGCCAAGCTAGGAATGCTGAACACGGTGTCGAAGGTCCGGGGACAGGTGAAGACCACGGGGTACCCGCAGACGGAGGGCCTGCTGGGGGACTGCATGCTCAAGTACGGGAAGGAGCTCGGGGAGGACTCCACCTTCGGTGAGCATGCTCCTGGCGGGCCTGGCGGGGTGGGGGGGCCGG